AAAAGTAATCATGAATTCAGAAAACCACACAGCCTTCCTAAAGAAGAAAGGTGGACTCCTCAAACCTCCAAGAGGTCAGTAGACCTCCCATTTTTCTGCCCAGGGTGAGGAATTACCAATCCCCAGCCCCAATTGCCTGCCCTCAAGTAACTGAGGAGTGGTGGAAAAGTAGTTTCCACATAGAGGTGCTTTAGGAATTTCCCCTTGGACTTTCAAGAGGCTTTTGACACGATACCTCACCAAAGAGTCCTGATACTTTCAGAGGGCAGCTGTGTCAGTCTGCAATAGAAGAGCCAGTTTCAAGTCCAGTACCACTTTAGAGACCAAGAAGCTGTGGGGTGAGGGGTTATGAACTTTCAAACAGAGAAGCCTCAAGGGGAGATTAAGACATGAGACTGTTGAACTTGAGTTCATTCACAAATTCAGAACAATAGACCCCACAGGGCTGAATAGAGATATAGGAGTCAAATGCAGATTTTCTTCCCCTCAGCATTTCTCCCCAGCTCTAATCAAGCTGATTACATTGTGCATCATACATCCTGAGTCCTTTCTTTGCCACAACCCTCCAACAATCAGACTGAGATATAAGCACTCAGGGATCTCTATTCCTGCTTGTATCTGACAAAGGGAGCTTTACTCTCAATAGCTCGTACCCCCAAAAATCTTGTGGGTCTCTAAGATGCTACTGGACTCAAAAGACTCCTGAGTTTGTTCAGCATTCATGGGGGTAAGAAGATGTTTCCATTTACAGAAAACAAGTGCGTGAAGAAGTGCGCAAGCCTAACCTTTTTCCTGATTTGCTTGATCTTTTTATTCTTTTTGTGGTACGAAGGAGCATTCAGTCACATGAGCCGTTTGGCAGTCTGAATGTTGCAACCCAGGCACACGTGTGTCTGTGGGAGAAATCGGCCACATTCCGTGGTCACATCTGGAGGCTTGCATGTTTTTTTTTAATCTGTTGGCAAACCCTAATTGTAAACTGGAGCAAGCTGACGTTTCTTCTCCTGTTCTGGGCATTTGAACTCCACTCTTGCCTCACTGTATCTGGGTCTTATTGTGATCGATGGGATGCAGTGCATTGGAGAGAAAATAATTACTTAAGTCATACAGAAACTTCTCGTCGTGTTTCAGTCCATAAACCTCATCAGTCTAAACTCAGGGTAGGGGAGGAGATGAGGGGCTGCGCTTTGTACAAAGAGCACAAAAGCTTTGCATTCAGGCTGGCAGACTGAGATTCATCACTGCCGGAGTACTGACGGCATCTGAAATGACTGGGCTGGAAATTAAAGATAGCTTAGAGCACCAGTGAAGTGCTTGTGAAAAGAGGCAATTCCACACATCTGCCGGCAATCAGCACTTATTCTGAAACACCCTTTTCATCACCCACACCCACCTACCTCTTGAGCGATCCTGCGCTATTCTTTCAAGACCCAGGGACTGTCCCACTCGGAGTCTGGTTGGAAGAACACGCACTGTCTTATTGTAACTGCTTAGGAGTCTTAAGGGCTGAGCTCGTTGAATCGTCTCCGGTAATTCAATTTGTCTAATCCTGAGATGATAGAAAACACTGCTTTGCAAAGGACAGTTCAAGGGGTCGGGTGGTGGGGAGGTTCCCGGTTGCTACTGACTCTTGCTTCTAACTGTATATAAGAAAACAAAATGTGCATGCTCCTTTGCAGAACAGGATATACCAGAAAAGGCTTCTAATGTGGCTTAGCACTTTGTTCTGTTTCAACAATACAGATCTTTTAAAGTCAACATTTCTGCACAAGTGCATTCAAAGGCAAGTGAAGTTTTGGCTTTGCCAATAGGAAACTTTTGCTCAGTCTTCAGTTTAATACAGGTTGTTCATTCATACACAACTAAGGTTGCCATTTTGTGGGCAAACACCTGCTGGCATGTCCTGTCCCCCCACTGGCAGTCATCGGAGTGGGGGTGGTTGGGGGAAGGGCATCGCACAATGCTGTGACATCACTTCCAGCTGGAACCCAGAAATATCATAGGTGCAACACACCAACACTCAAGGAATATCCCAAATCTCTGTGGTTTTTCACCAGAGAGATCATGTGAAATCCTAGAGCAGGGGTGTCGAATTCATTTGTTATGAGGGCTGGATCTGACATAAATGAGACCTTCTTCGACCAGGCCATGTGTGTCATAAAATGTAATGCGAGGTAGCGGAGATATAAACTTTATAAAGGACACAAACACAATTAAAGATTTTTTTAAAACTTTATATAAAACATGCTTAAAACACTAGCACTCTTGCAATATTTTGTTTATTTAACAGTCTCTGATAACTGACACCTCTTGCTCTGAATTATTGTATGAAAATGTCTGTGCTGTAGCAATCTTGAGTATGCTGTTCAGGTGTGTATCTGTAAGCTGCAAACCTACTTTTGATTTATTCATTACAGAAAGCTCATGCTCGGAGTTCTGAGCCTAGAACCCAGGGGAAACAATAAAATGTCAGTTCTGAGCCTAGGACCCAGGGAAAACAATAAAATGTCTGGGCATTGCGAGCTTTTGTACATAAATTGCTTTGTGTGCTGGTCAAGAACATGAGAAGGCATCCTGACACAGACTGAGGACTATGTGTTTGTCTACAAAACTATAGTCTTCACTAGAGAAATATCTGCAACTCCTATGAGGCAGTGCAAGAATAGAGAGACAGCAATGTAGAGTGGTCAGTGTCAGCCTGCTACCTAGGAAGTCTAGGTTCAAAATCCCCAGTCTACAAAGGAAATGTGCTGGGTGAACTTGGTCTGGACACACACTCTCAGCCTAATCCACCTCACTGGCTTGTTGTTATTCCTCATCTAAATAGTTTACATGGCTTTCCTACTGAGAAAGACTGGATCATGAGGGCATGAATACAGTGAAAAGGGGGGGAGGACCCAGTTGCTCCCAGGAGAACCCTGGCATAAGGAGCCCAACAAAACACACACTGTAGCAAGGCACACAAAAGCTCATACCTTGAATAAAACTTTGTTGGTCTTAAAGGTACTTTGTATTTCTTCCATGCGATTGAGGCAGCTGAGCAGAGGAAGGGGAGGAGCCTCAGTCTATAGAGGGGAAGAAAGGCTTGCTTTTGTCTCCTGTGTGGTTGAGGCAGCCTGGTCAGAAAGCAAACTCTGGCTTGTTCCCTCCCTCCCCCTAGGAGGGGGGGAGCCTCAGCTAGTGCAGGGAACAGAAGCTTGCCTATCTATCTCTCCTGTGCAATTGAGAGAGTCTGGGAAAGCAAACAGTGATGCAGCAGCAGCAGCAGAACTGGAGAAAGAAGCAGGAGACAGCCTGTTCCTTGTGGGTCAAATAGGAGCCTTCTGAGGGCCTGATCTGCCCTGTCGGCCGCATGTTTGACACCCCTGTCCTAGAGCATCACTTCTGGGTTTTTAATGGGACATGACATCATGGCATCATCCAATACTGTTTTGAAGTCTCTGCCCCCCTTTCCAAATGTACCCACAGCAACTCAGAACTGAACTAGCAAACTTATCCTCAATGTAGAGTAGACCTGTGGGAATCACTGCCACGGTTGTATGGAGAAGGCATCATCTGGCTTTCATTCAGGTAGTGGCATTCAAAATAAACCCCATGCTGGTCAAGAGTGAATGGAGAGGGACCATGGCTCAGGGGCAGAGCATCTGCTTTGCAAGTAGAAGTCCCCAGGTTCCATCCCTGCGATTGCCATTTAAAAGGATCTGGTAGAAGTTGATGTGAAAGACCTCTGTCTGAGACCTTAAAGAGCCAGTCAAAGCATACAGTGCTGAACTTAATAAACCAGGGGCAGTTTCATGGCTTCGATGTCATGTTGTGTTTGGCATCCAACTCAGATGCTTACACAAAGTTCCTGTTTCTGCATCAGAGGACCGGGCAGGCCCTCCATTTAATTGCATGGTCTTTCCTCTCTTTTTTTGAAAAACCAGAATATTCTGACAGTTCAGACTTCTGTGCTTTCAGATGGCTATGCAGAGCATCCAGACCACACATTAAGAGTGTGATTGGGGAGCGGGGGGGGGGGGATCATGCCTGTTTCCTTCACTACAGGATAATTGCATTTGAATGTTCAGCCCTGGACTAGTTGGGTAGCCTTGTCACTTAGATGCAAGGCTCAGTTTACACATTCTCCCACTCACCCGCACCCTCGTTTATCTTAAACAACATTTTTTTCTTTAGCAAATGCAGCCTCCGTGAATGTTTGATCAAGGGAGAGAACAGCACGGGGAGGAGGGGCTTTAACCCTTTCTCCCCCTGCTGTTTTCTCATGGTGGGGGAGCTGCTTTGCCCCTGCTGGGGGGGAAAATACAGGTATCCATTAAGTTTTCCTCAAAGGAGTTAAAGCAAGCCATGGGGTGGCTTTTTCCCAGAAAGAAGAAAAAAATCCCCTCCCTCCCCCTCCCCACGCCATGTTCCTTCTTGATCAAACAATCCTGGGGGCTGCATTTGCTAATAGAAAGGAAAAAAGGCAGTTTAAAATAAACATGGGGAAAAGCATAACGTGTAACTGAGCCCACTGTACAAATTCCCACCTGTAAAAGGGGAGCTGGACGATTCAAGCACTAAATGGTATATAAATGATTAATAAAATGCAATTTGACAGTATCTTGAAGCACGCCGGCAAGGGCTGAGTGTCTCCCCTGTGCCTTAAACTCTGGCAGAAACGAGAAATGATTAGCTAGACGAGACCCGATACCATCAGAACCGCAGCGACTGAATTCCCCAGTGGCAAATATTATTTGGGGAACAAAGCGCAGAATCTTCGAAAATGGCATAGTTTATATATGCCAACAAACAAGGATTGGTGTCTTCTCTCCCTTCCCCATTCAAGAAAGGGGCTATCCTTAATGTAGGGAGGTTTTTAAGACCAATTTGGAATTAGGAAGCTCAGAGTGTCTTCAGAGCCTTACACGCTCTGTGTGTGTGTGTGTGTGTGTGTGTGTGTGTGAATGCAACGGAAACTCATGTCACTCTTTCATAAAACTCTTTCCTTTTAAATGCAGGTATTTATTTGAGCTGCAGCAGCTCCCCTTGCCAAAATGGAGGGACCTGTGTCAATGAAAGAAAGGGCTTTGTCTGTGCTTGCCGCTATCCCTTCGGAGGAGTCACCTGCAGTACAAAGATGATGGAGGAAAATGCTGCCGCCATAGGCAAGTATATGCAGAATCAAGCAATCTCTTTCACTGCCTGTCTACCTGTAGTCCAGGGATTAAGAGCCACCAGGTTCCCTGAACAATAGCACCAGTTCAGTCTGAACAGAAGAGCTGTTTTTAAAACGCTCAGTTCCCGAAGATGCTCCACGATCCTCTGTTTTGATGGGTCCCGCATCACAAAGTGTAAAATTTGATCTCTTTCTCTGGCCTCCCTGTAAAAAAAAGATAACACCGAGGCCTATGGCGGATTGAGCAAGATGGTTGTTAGCTGAGGTGTACTATCATAAATAGGCCAGAGCTAACTGGCAATTTTTAGTACAAAAGCTGTGAAAATTGCATTATTGGGAAATTACATGTGCAACTAAAGCTGCCCCTTCCATTTTACAAAAACTCAGCTTGGAGAGGTTTGTGCTCATGGTTATAGCATTTGGGCAATATTTACCATGATTAACTTTCTCTGTGATAAGCTGGAGCAATGGGTTTTTTCAAACCATCCCCCCAGATACCATGAGCTTCCTCAGAATACAATTTCTTAAGAAGAAGAAAAAGAAGTAGAGTTGGTTTTTATACCTAGCTTTTCACTACCGGAAGGCGTATCAGAGCAGCTTACAATCGCCTTCCCTTCCTCTCCCCACAACAAGACACACTGTGAGGTATGATGATGAAGAAGAGGAGGAGGAGGAGGAGGAGAGATTGGATCTATACCCCACCCTTCACTCAGAGTCTCAGACTGGCTTACAAACTCCTTTCCCTTCCCCTGAGGCTGAGAGAGTTCTGAGAGAACTGTGACTGACCCAAGGTCACCCAGCTGGCCTAATGTGGAGGAGGAATGGGGAAGCAAATCCAGTTCTCCAGATTATTTATTAATTTATTTATTCAGATTTTTACCCCACCCTCCCAGCCGAAGCCGGCTCAGGGCGGCTTACATAAAAACAGGCAATTACATTAAATTACATTAAAAACATTGCAATTAAAACAAATTATAAAATCATACTAAAGTGCTAGTAGTTGTTGGTATTCTGCCACTCTTAACCACTACACCAAACTGGCTCTCTTTTCTAGAGAAGTGAGCTATAAAAAACAGGTCTTCTTCTTCTTCTTTATAGTTGTTTCCCACCAGCAGCAAGTTTTTCAAAGGTTCACCATTATTGGTCTCCTTTATAATAAGTAGGTCTCACTGGAAAGTGTTGGGGACACTCCAGGAGTCCAGGGCGCACTCTCAGGCCTCAAAAGTCAACAAGGGTGCCCTAGCCAGTGACCCAGGCAAACTGACCCTATGCCCTAGATAACGTGTTCAAGTTCTCTGCACTGGACCAGGTTTCCCTGAAAGAATCTGAGGGGCTCCTCTTGGGTTGCCAACTCCAGGTTGGGAAATTCTTGGAGATTTGAGGGTTGAGCCTGGGGGAGGCAGCGTCTGGGGAGGGGAGAGATTGAGCTCAGTGGGATACGATGCCACACAGTCCACCTTCCAAAGCGGCCATTTTCTCCAGGGAAAGTTTGTCATCTGGAGATCAGCTGTAATTCCAGGAGATCTCCAGGGCCCCCCTGGAGGCTGGCAACCCTAAGTTCCTCCAGAAATGAAATCAGCGTGGGCTAGGATCCCGCAGGGAGAATGTTGGAAACCACTATTGGCTGTGATCAACCCCCTCCCCCTGTTTTATTGTTTACATGCCATGACTTTCCTCCAGTTAACAGCGAAGGGAACAAGCTATTAGATCTTAGAATATCGATGAATCCTAGTGAGGGGTACTTGTAAGAGTGGTGGACTTGGCTCTAGGAAGGAAGGAAGGAAGGAAGGAAGGAAGGAAGGAAGGAAGGAAGGAATGTGTCATCAAGTCACAGCTGACTTATGGTTACCCCGTGGGGTTTTCAAGGCAAGGGACGTGGTTCAGAGCTGGTTTGCCATTGCCTGCCTCTGCCTCACGATCCAAATACTAGCCAGGGCCAATCCTGCTTAGCTTCTGAGATCTCACGAGACTGGGCTAGGCTGGGCTTTCCAGTTCAGGAGGCTCTTGGAAACCTGAATTCAAACCTCCATTTTGCTTTGGAAATCACTGGATGACTTTGGCTATTAGCCGTGTGACACATTTGCGATGTTCTTTTCAGGTAAAAGTCTCATTCCTTCGCCAAGATTTTGCTGCCAGGTTTGGAGTCAGTAGGAATCTAGGGGCCCCGGGTGTGCAGTTGGGTCAGTTTTTTGACTCCTTCAGGCCACTCTCCCCAGCGGATGTTGACAGGGTCTTATCGGCTGTGCGGCCTACTAACTACTCCCTGGGTCCCTGCCCTTCCTGGTTGGTGAAAGCCTCCAGGAAAGTGGTAAGAGGAACCTTGGGAGACATTATAAATCTCTCACTCTCCCAGGGCTCTTTCCTTAGCTTCCTCAAGGACGCAATGGTGATGTCCCTCCTGAAAAAGTCATCATTAGATGAGAGGGACCCAGCCAATTACCGCCCAGTATCTAATCTTCCATTTCTGGCGATTGAGCGAGCAGTGGCTGAACAACTCCAGGAATTCCTGGATGAGACATCTGCCCTAGATCCCTTCCAATCTGGCTTCCGGCCAGGGTTCAGGAATGAGACAGCTCTGGTTGCTCTGGTTGTTGATCTCTGATTATACCTTGGTGCAGGCGGGATGGTGCTACTGATCCTGTCAGATCTGTCTGCTGCCTTTGACATGGTAGACCATTTAGTCCTGGTCAAACACTTAGCCTCCCTAGGTGTGAGGGGGACGGCCTTAAGATGGTTCTCCTCATTCCTCCAGGGTCAGGCCCAGAAGGTAATCAGGGGTGGAGAGAGGTTGTCACCGCAGGCCCTGACCTGTGGAGTTCCACAGGGGTCAGTTCTCTCCCCAATGTTATTTAACATCTATATGTGCCCTCTGGCAGAGATTGTCAGGAGGTCTGGAGTGGGGTGCCATCAATATGCCGATGACACCCGCTCTACCTCTTATTTAAGATGTGGCCAGTAGCCAGAATCCCGGTCCTGGCTTCCTGCCTGGATGCAGTGGTGAAATGGCTAGGTGAGAGTTGGTTGAAGCTAAATCCATCTAAGCAGGGGTCATTTCATAGAAAAAGAGCTAGGGGAACTCATTAGCATAACTCATTAGCATATGCTACACCCCCTGACATCAGGGGCCCGGCGGTAGACCTGCAAGGCCAGCAGGAGTGCAAGGAAGCCCCGCCAAGGCCCTCCCTGGCCCCAGGCAGGCAGGGGTGGGGAAAGGCAGGGAGGAAGCAACTTACCCTCCCTCTTCTCCTGCCTCCTCCTGGCTGAATGAGGGCTGGAAGCGGGGCAGCCGGAAGCAGGGGGCGGGGGTTCATCATGTGCCCCGCCCCCTGCACCTCACCCGGGGGAACTGCGTTCCCCCCCGAAATGACCTCTGCATCTAAGACAGAGATTATGTGGCTGGGAAAGCCTGGACCACTGGAGTGGCCACTTCTACCAACCCTTGATGGGGTCCATCTGTCTATAATCAACTTGGCCAGGAATGTGGAAGTATGGCTCGATGCTTTGCTTTCCATGGACGAACATATCCGTGGTGACATAGGCTGCATTTTACCATCTATACTGGGCCCACCAACTAGCTCCCTACATATCTTAGGAGGACCTTGCCGCAGTAATTCACAGTAACAGTCACCTCAAGACTGGACCGCTGTACCATGCTCTATGTAGGACTACCTTTGAAAACATTTTGGAAGCTGCAAGTGGTCCAGAACTCAGCCACTAGATTGCTGACAGGAGTGTCCTGGTCAATGCATATAACACCTATCATTCGGCAGCTGCACTGGCTCCCAGTTAGTTTCCAGTGCCAATTCAAAGTGTTGGTACTTACCTTTAAAGGCTAAATGGCCTGGGACCCTCTTACCTTTGGACCACCTCTCCTGGCATGATCCTCCCCATCTTCTCCAATCTTTCTCTTGGAATTTATTGAAGGTCCCTGGTCCACAAACTGCCCACCTTGTGTCACAAAGGGTGCAGGGCGCTTTTTTGGGGGGGAAAGAGGTGCCGGAACTCTCAAGAGGGAAATGAAGTTTTCAGTCTGTATACTGAAAACCCATGAACTTTTGAACATTTTTAAAAGAGTTTTGTCAAAGAGGTTCCAGAACTCCATTCGGGCGCATCCCCCCAGAAAAAAAACCCTGAGTGAGGGCCTTCTTGGTAGTGGCCCCCATCCTGTGGAAGCAGCTGCCCGGAGACAAGTGTGCCTCGTGGGACCTTCCCAGGTTCCACAGGGCATGCAAGGATGCTCTTTTTCAGGTGGCCTTTGTGTGATTGTGATCCACCAGGCAGCTGGTATACTTCAGCTGTGTCTTCACCATCCCACAGTGCTACAACCTCCTGCATACTCCTTAGGTTACTCTTAAGTACTCCTATTTTACCTTTACATATTCAACAGGAAACTTCTCTTTTCACAATTTTCTATACTCAATAGTTATCAAAGCAAAATAAATTGTCTCTCACATCCCAGTATTTTCCCAAATATCCTTTTAAGTCTTTCCAGTCTTCAAAAAAAAGGTCTTCTGCTGCCATATTATTCAGTTTCCTTGTCATCTTATCCATTTCAACCATAAAAAGTAGTTTTTTGATCCATTCTCCTATTCCAGGAACTTCCTCCTGTTTCCAACTTTGCGAATGGTGATAGATTTTCTTAACCGTTTTATCTTTTAAACATTACGTATTTATTGTATCTTTGTATTATTTTTATTGGTGTATTTCGTATGCTGTTGGCCACTGTTCGGGGGAGAGAGAGCGGGATACAAATGTGAAAAATAAATAATTTTGAGCTAGTCATGCCCTCTCAAGCCCGCCTGCCCCACGCAGTTGTTGAAAGGATAAAATAAGGAAGGGCAAATTGGTGGGCTAGTAATTACTACATTAGATAGATAGAAGGGACCAAGTATAGTAGCCCACCCAACCCAGTGGTTCCTTATGAGCCTGGGGACTTTGACGTGCGTGTAGAATCCCCCCCTCCCACTTGCAAAACCTTTCCCACCCACTTCAAAAAAGAGGAAAGGTTCCCCCCATGGATCTCGCAGAGAAGTGAATGAGGAAACCTGAGTGAGTGAGATCTCTGTGTACTGAGAAAAAAGATCTCCAGAAGTACTTCCCTGGTGTTCTGAGACTCCCAGTCCAACACTGATGACACTGATTCCCTCAGTGTCTGTATAGTTCACTGCTGGAAGTCCGTCCTCTGTGCCTGCCATAGCTTTAGGTTTTTCCCAGAGCCTTTTTCCTGCTCCTGTTGCTCCATGTTGCAGGCACCCCAGAGAGGAGAAGGTTGCCAAACTCCGTCCTTGAGTACCATGGTAGAGGCGAGGGAATTACTAGGGCCAGTTATCCCTTTCCTCAGTGCCCATTCCCATTCCTCATCGGCCATCCCTCACTCACTGAGTTCCTGTCCTCTGTACACAGAAACTACATAATTATCCCTTTGCTTTTTGGTTTTGCTGCAGCACACTAATGCAATGTTCTTTTGGCATCATTAATACATATAATACAAAGACTTGTTGGGGAGGAGCTATGGCTCATCAGTGGTAGACCTCCCTTCTCCCCCAGTGCTTTCCCACAAATCTAGGATTGCCTAAAACCTAGGGGGAAATGACCTGCCCCTTTAACAGAGGCTTAAGCCGTGGAAATGGCCGGTGAAGCTTTACATGGACTGGAGGTAAATAACATCACCTAGCAAATATCTCGGAAGCTAAGCAGGATCAGCACTGGCTAGAATTTGGATGGGAGACCTCCAAGGAATACCAGGGTCGTGATGTGGAGGCAGGCAATGGCAACCCACCTCTGAACCTCTCTTGCTTTAAAAACCCTGTGGGGTGGCTGTAAATCAGCTGCGACTTGATGGCACTTTCCACCACAGCAAATAGCATCCTGTTATGCCTGCGACCGATTTCCCATAAGCTCCTGCTCCATGCTGGCTCTTCCCTTTGCCCTGATCGTACCTGTCAATTTCACACCATGTGCTGCGCGGGCGCATTTTGCCCCGCAGCTTCTCCTGATTTTCCCCACGTCTACTCCATCCTGTTTTTTTGAGGATTGAGTAGACGCGGGGGGAAATTGGACGAAGCTGTGGGGCAAAATGCGGCCGCGCAGCACATAGTGTGAAATTGACACGTACGATAGGGGCAAAGGGAAGAGTGAGCGCGGAGCAGCAGCGAGTGGGAAATCGGTCTCAGTTAAGGGGCAGTTGGCAACTCTATAAATGTCAAAGAGGGGGGACACCAGAATCCATCTATTTCCCCCCTTCCCATACAGAAAAGCCTCCAGCAATGGAGGGATTTGAGCAGGGGGACAGCTGGTGAGGAACAACCCATCTGAAAGAACTCACTGGGTCAATTTAAGACATAACATAAAAACATGACGTGTTTCAACTATGATTAATCTATAAAGTTAGGATTCATCTCGTAGATGGTAACTAAAATCCTGGTTTGGCTCAACAAATGCTCATTTCAGTGCCTTTACTATGTAGCCAGAAAGGGCAGTGCCTGGAAATGAGCCAGGATTCAACCAGAACACCTGCATTCATACATTACATAGAAGCATAGTTAAGACTAACTGCAGGGCTTTTTTGTTTTAGAAAAAGCCCAGCAGGAACTCATTAGCATAATAGGGCACACCCAACAGCAGAAACTCATTAGCATATTAGGCCACACCCCTGACAACATATCTTATTAGCATATTAGGCCACACCTCCATGTTATCAGAAGGGTGCTCATCCAGCCACACCCACCTTTTGCTTCTTATTCTGTTTGCTTTGTTGTCAAAACCCAGGGCTTTTTTTGTAGCAGGAACTTATTTGCATGTTAGGCCACACACCCCTAATGTAGCCAATCCTAATGAGTTTCTGCTGTTAGGTGTGGCATATTATGTTAATGAGTTCCTGCTGGGCGTGGCCAACTCGGGAGCCAGTCGGAACTCTGTTCCTGTGCTTTCCTGGCCAAAAATAGCCCTGACTAACTGATTAATGAAACAACTTCAGACTATGGTTCCAGACCGGGTTTGACACACCTTAACTAATGGTTGTTCAGACTACCATACCTATGATAGTTTAATTAAAAACATGGTTCACGTTATGCCTGAATTGAGCAACTGCTATTTTATATTACAAAGAAATGGGAGGGAATTATGGATAACATATAGATTGTCCTGTAGTGTACACCCAAAAATGTATTGTGTGAAAAGCCCCTTAAAATGCAAAGTTTGCAGCAGCAACCACAAAAACTGATCAGCCCAGATACCAACATAGACTCTCCTCTGCTGAGAATTTCATTTCAGCTGTAACTGTCATGGTGATACTTGCCATAAAAATGAATAAACTAAGATTTGCATCCAGAATATATGAAATGTGTGTTTTATGCCTCTTTCAGCCACTATTTCAGTATTTCTCAATCATTTTTACAGCAGCGCAGGCATTGGTTTATATGCTAAGGGCGAGAGGAAAGAAACAAAGAATGTTTTTCATTTCCCCATTCATTATGAAGCTTTCTAAACCGCTCCAGCATTTGTTAAGAACTTGCAAGCACAATTCTAGGCTACACCACACACACACACACACATACACACACACACACACACGTTAGGTTTGTAGAAATCTGTGATACTGACATGGGGAGAGAGACATGAGAGCTTTTCTTGCTAATAACGCAGCACAGTCAAGACTGAAATTTTCTTGCTGTTCCCAAAGAAAAGCTTTTTGTTGGCGGTGGTGCATTTGATGCTAATTGTGGAGAAAATTGCTTTCTGTGTAGTAGTTAGGAATTCATTCTGCTTTTCTTCTTTGGCTTCCTGGGCTGGGGAGGGGGGGGAGTTTGCAACTGCCCAATGTCTGCTATGCAGAGCTGATGCCATTTAAATCTGCAGCAACTAATGAGGGATAGGAGACAAAAGATGGATCTAGATGTTACAACGGCACCTGCTTGCCGCTGAAAATAGAAGCTCCGTGTCTGGCTCTTCCCTTCCTCCCCATAATAAGTTAAAGTTGCCTTGCTGACATGACATCATCATGCTATGAGTTTACCTATCCCTTCTCCACACTGTTGGCTGCTGGCAGATGGGGAGCTCACAGCATGATGGTACCATAGCATGCGGTAAATTTGATTAAACATTACAGGGAAAGGGGGGGAAACTAGACGCATGGATGTCATCTTCAGCGGCAGAACTGTGTCAACAATAATAGCTAGGTAAAGGTAAAGGTTTCCCTTGCTCGAAAGCCAGTCGAATCTGACTCTAGGGTTGCGGTGCTCATCTCCATTTCCAAGCCAAAGAGCCAGCGCTGTCCAAAGACATTTCCGTGGTCATGTGGCCGGCATGACTAAACACCAAGGTGCACAGAACGCTGTTACCTTCCCACCGAAGTGGTACCTATTTATCTACTTGCAATTTCTTGCTTTCAAATTGCTAGGTTGGCAGGAGCTGAGACCAGAGACAGGAGCTCACTCCATCATGCGGCACTCGGGTCTCGGACTGCTGAACTACGGACCTTCCAGTTTGCAGTTCAGCATCTTAACTACTGAGCCACCGCAGCCCTCTCACAATAATAGCTAGTTTTGACCAAATAGATTGGAAGAGTGACTTCTCCTTAACTGTTCTTTCCTCTGCAGATTTCTCAAAGGGATCTTACAGATATGCACCCATGGTGGCCTTTTTCGCTTCGCACACCTATGGGATGAACACTCCTGGCCCTATTCGGTTCAACAATCTGGACGTCAACTATGGTTCCTCCTATGTCCCATCAAACGGAAAGTTCCGTGTGCCGTACCTTGGCGTTTACATTTTCGAATATACCATTGAATCACGCAGCCCACGCCTCTCTGGCTACCTAGTGGTTGATGGGATAGACAAGCTGGCTTTCCAGTCTGAAAACACAAATGATGAGAAGTACGCGGAAAGGGTGGCTACAGGGTATGCCTTACTGGAACTGAACTATGGTCAAGAAGTCTGGCTCAGGCTGGCAACGGGATCCATCCCAGCCAAATACCCACCTGTAACTACATTTACTGGGTACTTATTGTACCGCACATAAATCAGTTGCATACAGAAGCTCTCCTCCCTTGCTTCCAAGTTGTCCTTTCCCTTTTTATTCTGAGTTCTCCTTCCAACACAGCAGTGTCATTTTGAGTTGCCCCATTTTGCTCAAAATGGCACTTCAGTCTTCAAATAGAAATGCAAAACCTTTCCCTTCACTGTAATTCCATGAGGAAAAGAAAAGCTTTCTATCCTCCTGCCGTTTTTAAAAGCCAAGGAGTTTCTCATGGAAAGTGCCAACCCTTATCTCATTAGATACAGCTCAGACTTCCAAATGTCCCAGTTACACCAACTTGTCTTTCACTGAATGGCTGGAAGTCTATAAATAGCTCTTCTGTCTGCCCAGGCATCTCATTAGTTAGATGTATATCCACAACCTTACCTAGATGTTTGCACCAATCCTAAAAAAAAGTGCAGCAGTTGAATAATATTATCACCAGCAGTTGAATAATATTATCACCATTGTGAAGTGAATTTGATTTCAGTAGCTGACACTAGTCAGCAGTCATGTGATCTAGGGTGCTCACACATGACTCAGATCAGGATGTCTTTGTTCCCAGTTTTGAAGACAGTTATGGAGAAGTAGAGGGCCCACTGAATAACGAAGGCCCTATGTGAGCAGCTTTGCCCACACAGATGGAAGCAGGGCTCTTTTTGTAGAAAAAGCCCAGCAGGAACTCATTAGCATATTAGGCCATACCCGACAGCAGGAACTCATTAGCATATTGGGCCACACCCCTGACAGCACAGCTCATTAGCACATTAGGCCACACCCACATGTTACCAGAAGTGTGGTTATCCAGCCACACCCACCTTTTGCTTGTTATTCTGTTTACCTTGTTTGTGGTCAAAACCCAGGGCCTTTTTTTGTAGCAGGAACTCCTTTGCATGTTAGGCCACACACCCCTAATGTAGCCAATCCTAATGAGTTTCTGCTGTTGGGTGTGGCCTATTATGCTAATGAGTTCCTGCTGGGCGTGGCCAACTTGGGAGCCAGCCGGAACTCCGTTCCTGTGCGTTCCTGCCCAAAAATAGCCCTGGATGGAAGGTTTACATACATCATGAGTTTGCATCATGAGCTGGCATCCTGTGCCACTGAGAGCATGTGTGAAGTGGACCATAAGATCCCAGACTGCCCAAAGTTCATTAGATTTGGGTTTTAACAGCACAATCCTATACAGAGATCTAGTGTGCTACTGCAATTACAGTGTTGAAAGAACCTAGGAGACCCAGGTGTAAATCCCCACTATCCTATAAAGTTTTCTGGGTGACCTTGGACCAGCGACTTTCTCTTTCTCTCTTTCTCTCTCTCTCAGCTTACTTCACAGGGTTGTTGTGAAGCTAGACTGGAGGAGGGAGAACTATGTACACCACCCTCAGCTCCTTGGAGGAAGGGTAGGATTAAAACATCCTAGATAAATAAGTCTAAGCCCATTGAAGTCAATGTTTTTCCTCGGTATGTTAATAGCGCTCCTTCAGCCTAAGTCTACTGAAAGCCTACTGAGGTTTGGCCAAGGGTAATTGTATAGAATTGTTCTGCTAGGATAACTTTTTTTGTGTGTCCAGCATTTAAACCCTCTGCTCTCGTTTTCCTATTGCCATGTTTTGTTATTGGTTTCTCATGCAAAAGACACAGAGTCCCCAATTTAAACACGGGAGTTTCAAGGGATAACAAAAAGTCTTATTCACTAGAGCTTTAAAAGAAAAAGAATTGAAGGGCCTCCATTTAAAAGAGTAATAAATCAATCAACTTGCTAAAGTAAGGGTGATACTTTGAGGATACCGAAAGATAATAATTTCTCTTGACTTTTTTTTTTTAAGAAAAGCATAGATGAGGGGAAATATCACCCTTAATGCATTGTGTAATTCAAGAGAAATATATGGGGTTGCTTGTCGTAAGCATGCTGTACCCTTCACAGGGGAGAGCTTTGATGAAAATCTGATTAAAAATCCATGTATTTAATCTGCAGTGAGTAAATTAGACAATTAATAGCATCAATTAAAGGATTAACACTTCCCGCTGTCAGTCCTGCCGGACTGGATTTTACTGTTGCTTGAGAAAGGAATTGGTGACACTTAAAACGCCAAGCAAAAAAGAAACAAAGAAAGAAAAGGAAATGGGAAAAGGTAAAAGAAAGCTGTTTTACCACTACTTCTTTCTTTTTCTGTTCCATGTTTTTAAAGTTTTTGTCTTCTGTTTATAAGACTAATCTTCAACACATCATGATGAACCCAACTGTATTTCCCCCAGCCCCTTCTCCTACTGCTGTTCTGTATCACCCTGTAAATATGTGAATTCCCCGATTTGTCACTAATTTAGCTTTGCATATCATTGAATTTTATCAAATGTCTTGCCCACATGGCCAGATCCCTCCCCACTCCTTGTATGACTTTGTCAGTTTAATAACCTGTTTAGTCCTCTTTATTCCTGCTACGGATAGGGCTAAATGGCGTGGAAATTACTCTGCAGATGAAATTCAAATGACCCACCAGAGACAGCATCTCTCTCTTTAAATATGACTTTCTTTGCCCTTGCTGCCCTTCCAATTAAATCCTTCCAGCCAGGTCTCCATCTTCGAGGAGGCTAATTGTTTTCTTCCTATCTCAGATTCCTGATAGGCTTTTTGTTTGTTTATTTTTCTTGTTAACCCCCCCCCAAAAAAAAAATCATCTCTTTAGAGCAGACCTCTGACCTGCAGCCCTTTCAAAACAATATGTAAAAAATAAATAAATCTATAGCTATTCTGGGTGCACTGATCACAAAAAACCACACCCAGTTTGCTTAGAAAATTAATAGTTGCACACACAGGGGGGAAAAAGTCTTTATATCTATCGTTCCCCTGAGGGTTGTAAGTTAAGTATAACCATGTTACTGTAGATTTTTCTAGATTGGATAATTGGGTTAATGTTTTAAAAGGGTTGTTGCTGTTGTTCAATCATACTCTTTCTATTTTGAGGTTGTAAGTTAAGTATAACCATGTTACTGATAGATTTTTCTAGATTTGATAATTGGGTTAATGTTTTAAGAGGGTTGTTGCTGTTGTTCAATCATACCTCTTTCTATTTTGGGTGAGTCCAAATTCAGCTGCTTCCATGAGTTTTCGGAATGGTTCGTTTTGAACTGAGGAACAGCTAATACAGTGGATGCCTCTAGGTTAGTGCCTGTGACGTCATCAACATACCCCCCCTTTCCATTCCAAGACCAATTTTGCTACTACTTTAACTCTCTCTTTTTAGATGGATGGCTGTATAGATAAATAAATGTGCCACATAAAGCAAAAATGCAGATAGCCTGCCTGGTGCAAATGATGGAGGTCTGACACCTCTTTGGCATGGTATAAATTGCCAGTCCAGCAATTGACTTGATGATATGCATTTCTGTAGCAGAGAGTGCAAGGCTCGGTGTGTTTGTTCTTATTATGCTATGCCTTTCTCCACCATATTGTAAACCACTATTATTCAACCTTTTCTTTGAAATATTGTGTGATAGGTTCCCACTACCTGAGGATGGTTTTGTAACAATGAGAACTTTCATTAATAAAGTAAAAGGAAAACAGGTGGAACTTTCTCTGTGTGTTTTTAAGCAGAGTACTTCAGTTTGAGTTCCATGCTAGTATGTAGTCGGCATCCCATTTTTTAAAACACACTTACATAGCAAACAGAAGGAATTACCCTCTTTTGCCTGCTCGTGTTTCCTTATCTGAGCATGAAAAACAATTCATTGGACATCATAGATTCCTAGCAGAAGCAGTGGGGCAAACCCATCCTGCTGTGTTAATGGGCAGAGGAAATCTCATTAACATTGCCAGGTGCTCTAGATCAGGTGCAATAGATGAGCAAATAAAGTTCTGTTTGCAAAGACTAGGAGAACTTCTCCTTTTGGTATTTGTGTGTGCATGCACACCTGGAAGTCATGGTTGACTTGAACATTTCAGAGCAGTGGCTTTCTATTGCCTGCCTCTGCCTCCCAGCCCTGGTATTCCTTGGAGGTCTACCTTCCAAGTACTTGCCAGGGTCAACCCTGCTAAGCTTCCGAGATCTGATGAGATTGGGCTTGCCTGGCCAATCCAGGTCAGGTTGAAACTGGGAGATCTTCAACATGCTGTCTTCTCATCCAGCCTCTACTAAACACATCCTCTGCATGTTTTTGAAGACATGTCACTGCTAGGCCTCATCCAGTCATGGAACAAGAGTAATTGACAATGGAACCGATTAACCTAGGACATCCTTCCATCAAGAATGCTGTAGCTTTGGATTTCTTGTATTTAGTGGGTTTTTGTTGTTCAGTCGCACAGTCGAGTCCGACTCTTTGCGACCCCATGGACCAGATCACGCCAGGCCTTCCTGTCTTCCGCCGTCCTCTGAAGTTTGCTCATGACCACCTGACACTATGATTCTGTGGAAATGGCTCTTAGCATTATACCATCAGTCCGAACTGCAGTGTCAGCATGATATACTTTGCATGCCTCCCAAATGGCACATATTCTGACTTTGCATTTCTTGGGTTGCCAACCTCAAGGTGGGGCCTGGAGGTCTTCCGGAATTACAACTGATCTCCAGAATACAGTCATCAGTTCCCCTGGAGAAAAAGGCTGCTATGGAGGGTGGAGCTCTATGGTATGATACCCCACTGAGGTCCCTCCCTTCCCCAAACCCTGCTTCCCTGTGCTCCACTCCCAAATCGCCAAGAATTTCCCAAACAAGAGTTGGCAACCCTACCGCTCACATACATGATCTTGCACACTAATTTGCTACGGAAGTGGCTCTAGGAAAGGGGCACTAGGCTATCGGCTGCTTGATCTAATGAAGCATTCCACGGTGAATGTAACTGTAGATCAATACAATCAGCAAGCTGAGCCATTATGCAGAAGAGAGTGAAATCAATCACTCAGGACTCCCATGGATCACTTCGTCTTCCTTCCACCCTCCTCACTGCTGCCTTCTTTATGAATATGTGCAAACAGCATCCTCAGCAGCACCTTCGTTTTTATTTTCTCCCCGATAATCCAAGACCAACTGCCTTATCTCTACCCCAAAGCTCAGAAAGGTATCCGAGTCCTGTGCACAATCTATAGCAAAGTAGAGTCTCCTCTGTATATTTGGAAAGCCCAATTACCATGGCAACATTTTTATCAGCTTGGCTCTGACAAGCCCATCCAATTTATTGTGGAGCTCTGCGCTATCATTTTCTCCCTGATGCCAAGCGAGCCCTCCTGGAATGCATTTGCCAGCCCTTCACCTTTGGGGATATTACATTGCAATCGGCAAGTTTTGGAACAGGACAGGTGTCCCCTTCTCAGCAGCATCAGCTGTGCAGTTCCCCCACCCCAAGCCCCTCATGGTGAAAATGAAGAGGAATTACTATCCTCGATCATCCAATCATTTACACAGGCTCTTAACTTCACTATGCCAAAATGAATGGTGAAATGAAGGGAACCATTTGCAGTAAGTAGGAACACTCACAATAATTAAGGCATAGCTAAGCTCCTTCATGAGCATCTGGATCAGAGTCAATAATTTTTTATTTATTTATTTATTTATTTTGGGATTTATATCCCGCCCTACCCAAGCGGCTCAGGGCGGCGAACAAGCGGCGATGCCGGATTAAAATATAAAAAAACATTAAAACATTATTACATACAG